TTTTTTATGAAAAGACTCGCATCCGTTCGCTGTAAACTTGAACTCTTTTCTGCCCATATTGATGGAGGGAAAAGTGATTCTTCTGAAATATAATTGTTGACTAATAAATAGTCAGCGAAATCTACAACTTTAGAATCAACTGGTTGTATTTCTGATAATTCAAATGAAAAAAAATCACCAACTTCTTCTGGACTCAAAAACGATAATCCAAAAATATATGATAGATAGTAGCCAACTTCTCCATTCAACTCATATTCTCTAGCTAAGCCCAGGTCTTGCATCTTTCGCCACCACGATTGTCCTATAGGTGAAACCTGCATCCTTTTATAAGTGTTTCTGGCCAAATTTTCTGAATTGCCTTGTGAATAGAAACTTCAMAGTTAACATAAATTGTATCGATTTTAAATTCTGGACACACTTTTGAGCATTCTAAATCAATAGCTTTAAATGCTTCGGAGTAAGTAATTGTTTGTTTATCTTTTAACAAAAAATATACTAAAGGAACGTAATAATTTTTAAAAAGGCCGTGAACTGTAAATAATTGGTAAAAAAAATGTGTACATACAATATTCAAACGTGCCATCAACATACACTGTTTAAATTTTACTTAAAAACTCTAAATTTGATTTACATGTAAACATTACTATACCCTTAATAGAATCATTGAAAAACAAAAAAAGGTTCATTTTCGTTTGTAGTACAGTCAATAGCATTTAATGCTGAGTGCACAGTTAAAATATTTGTTGGCAATTTTGGTAGCTGTTCACTGCGAGCTCGATATCAATTATTTTTTATATAGCGGATATCGGTAATTGTTAATGTATTTTTAACACTGCATCAATACTATCTTTTAAATGTCGATGCATTAGTTTAGCTGGTCTTTCATATAACTCTTGTGTACCTTTTCGTTTAAGAGAATTACTTACAATTTGCCGATTTAAAATTGCTTCAGATAGTGCATCGTGGTTGTGGGCAGTGTCACTCACGTTAAGTAAAACATGATCATTTTCGTTAATTTTTAAATATGCT